ACTCATTGCTTTGTTTATAAAATGTGTAAAAACAAGTGAAGTATTTCCCAGGGCCCAAGGTGATGCTTGTTCTGTCTGACCAACAGTCCTAGACCAAAAAACTTGAAATGATATAACACATTAAACGCAGATGATGAAACCAATTATTGGACAACAGCTAACTGATTATCAAAGTTTCTAGCGATTGATTGATTGTGTTTCACCACTTATGGTACTGCTGTGTGACATTTTACAGGCACTCCCCATCTTAGAAAAGGGCTGCCTTTTGTGCCCTAGTGGCCTTGCTATAATATCACCGGGGTAGATATATCTGTGATCTGTCTGGAGAGCACTAACATATGCTTATTTTTTAGTGCTGTTGTTGACATATGGTGAAAATGAAGGTGAAGGCTGTTACCTGCTCCAGGTGGAAGACTCAGCAGAGATGCTCTGCACTCGGTCCACGGTTGTTTCTGGGTTTGCAGGTTCCTCACTCTTCACCACCACGTCCTTGTACAGGTTCAGCTGCCCTGGACCGCTGGGTCATCAGACTACAACACGATAACAAACAATCAATAAACAACAAATAGCGCATCATATTAAACAGTAGTAATTATACCAATCTTACTTAAACTGCTCTTTCTGCTAGAATTATAACTATACAGATATAGAGATATCATCTTACTTTGTCCTGGAGATGGAGATTCTGACGCATGCTCCTTCACCTCATCATCTGTGTCTTTCTATGAAAGGAAGGGATCATAGAGAGAAAAATGCAAAGCAGTGGGAATACACTATTCATTAAAAGTAAATAGTAAAGGTGCTTATGTATATATAAGCCATCACAACAGACTACATTGAAAAATATTTGTAATTCTATAAATACTGTATGTCTACGTGACCAAAGAAGGAATTGTAAGTTGGTAAAGGGCTTTAATTTGCATCAGGACGTACTCCGTCTTCATTTTTTAAAACTCTTTATGGATAGGGACTGAACTGCTGGTAGAAGCAAACCATACAGACTGAAGGAAGTGCTGTGTTAAAGTACAGCCACAGTTGTCTATCTTTGATAGAAGATTTAGATAGTAGCAGTGTGGGAACTTCTAATGATTTTGTCAGATGTCAGAGCCAGCCAACTTCATTGAAATTAAGTAGTAAGTGAGTCAGACCTAACTTAAAGCCTAAGATAAGGCTGAATTTAAAGGACAGGGTAATAATTATAGTACATCAAGGACCTGCATAGAAAAAGTGACCGTAAAATAAAATAAAAAGTTAGTTACCAGACTGTAGCGAATCTTGGCAAGGGAGATGAGCTCCTGATCTCCTGGGGTACACATGTTGAGGCCGATAGGCAGCATTTTCTTCAGGGCAGCTACAATGAGAGAGGTCTGGATGGAGTAGTACTCGCCTCGACGGCGCTTGTGTTTCCTCTCCTGGTCCCCCCAACTACAAAGAGAAAGGACACAAGCTTAGTCTACAATCATAAGGGACCTCTATGAAGGACTAAGGTACTCCAAACCTAAACAAAATATTAAGACACATGCTTTTAACACTGCTCCATAACAATTCTTTTTAATTTACTAATACTATATTATTGTCCTTGTTTATACTTATTGTAGTATGTTGTTTTAAGTACAGCACATTTATGCATGAATTGTTCTACAGAAATAAAGGGCATGATTATTATTATTTTATCAGGACATGGAAATCCTCCGTTATGTCCTGCATATGTGTTTTTGTTGTTTGTTCTTTATTTAATAAATGTTTCATTTCTTTAAGACAAGGTTGTAAACCACCAGAAAATAAGTGACCACCAAACAAATGTTGAAACAAACACAGTTAAGTTCCTTCCATTACTATTCTATGAACTTGTGATTCGGGGTTTATTGTTTCATGAAATTGCAATTTTACATTCAAGCCTTTGTGCTCCACAGAAGCATGTAGTTGTAATGACCAAAAATTAAAGCCGCAATCAGCAGTGAGCGAATTTCAGGCTACAGCTAGTTTAATTCTGTTTAAAGAAGGAGTGAGACCAATCACATACTTGTTCATCATTATAATATATACATGTATGCAGGATTTAAATAATTGCACATTCTTTATTGGATGTGAACAAAACTTGTTCATGCCTTCACTGAGTTTAAAGGACTGCTTGAGTTATTAGCCACCCCTCTGGGTTTGAACCCTAATAGAAGTTTTAATTGACACGTTCTATTGTCGTGACTGTAGTGTTTTAACATGTTTATCTAACATTGAATTGGTTTTGTATTTCCCAAATCAAATTTAAATAAATCATCAACTCCTCAATCCTGTATTTGAACAGATTAATGCTCGTTTTCACTTTCTGCCAGGAAACTTAAGAATTTACCCTTTTCTTAACTAACTAAATATTATTATATTTAGCACTCAAATCATATTTAGCCACCAAAACTGAGATCCAATTTCCAACCACTATGCTGTCAGAGCACAAAAATGCACCTTTAAACCACAGATTAAGAGGACTCCCATACCAGAGGCCCAAAGTGCTTCAACATAATCCTTTAACAAGCATGTCCTCCAGAATCAAGAGATGAAGAGCTTTTCTCTACTGTAAGCGATCATGTCAGAACACCCCACAGTGCAAATAAATAAGCTGCCCGGCTCTGCCAAAACAAATAAAACAACAACTCTCACAGTGACAGCTATTTGAGCAACTGCTGGACCAAACACTGTCAACATCCAGATATATGACCCGACTTTGCTTTGACAAATATCCGCATGAAATATCATGTCATAAACCCTCGGTGCAGATGAATTTAAGAGGTTTGAACTCATGCAATTGATTTGTAGACATCTCACATCTATATATTCAGCATGTTCAGCACATGTCAAGAGAGCTATTACAAACACAGGAAAATTGCTTATAAGGACTTTTTTCTTTCATTAGCAAGGTGAGAACTGGAGCACTAGAGAATCTCGTCAGGAGGGCAAGTATTCAAGCTGTGCTTTTCCAAAGTGCTGACACAGTGAAGAAAAGAGCTGGAGAGGAGCGAGATAAGTCCAAATTAAACCCAGAGAGAACTAAGATGTACTCTGAGTGAAAAGGTCCATTTTCAAAGTAAAGACTTGTTCTTGGAAGGCCTAGGAGTCAAACCAAACCATTAATACTAACTTGATGATTTCTTGGCCGGGTAATGACATTTCTGGCCCAAATGAAGTTCAAGCGAACAGGAGATTTGACAATGTTGATTCCTGCTGTTTCCTAGTACAGCTCAAGGAAACATTACTCAGTGCCCTTTTCATTTCATTAATTTCTTTAATATTGTAAACAATAAGGATAGCCTTTTCCATTTTTGGACTCCAAGGCATTCATTCCTAATTAAGATGAAAATATCTAAAATGGCTCCCCATATAACTTTTTAAAGAAATTATGTAATTTTATTAAACAACTGGCTACTGCAGTTTTTAGCGAATGTTACACAAGCAGGCACAAATACTATTAATTTATTTAAAGCTGCAAATGAATACACCTTTGGTGCTTCAGTAAGTTTTTTATAGCTTCAGCAGTGTGTCGCATTTGCTGGAAATAAACCACAGTGCCCATGTTCATCGTAATGAAAAAACATGTTACCCAGTTCAACAGTGTGGCTCACGGATGAGTTTTTAATAGTATTTGTACAAAAATTAAGCTCTGTGAGGAGTAACTTATTAAGTTTTTGTTTTTTTTCTTTTCATTGGTTTATTTACAATAAGAAAAATACAGAAAATCACCAGACTTTCCTTTAATGTATTTCATTAAGGTAATTGTGTCACCCACTATATGTACCATCATATTTACCTTGGACATCTTTGTCTTGCCCTCTCCAGTCAGGAAGCCCAAATTGTTGATCTCATTCTGAACCACAAAGTTCTTCCTCACGCTTAAAGTTCTGGGTTCAGAGGACAAAGAAAAGAGGTTAATTCAGCAAAGACACCCCGTTTCAAACGTCACATTGTGATATGACTACTAGATTGAATGGTAAGACTTACATGGGACTTGCACCAGAGGATGAAGATCTCAGCCACCATCCTGAAGAGCTCAGTGGAGTCCGCATCCGGCTCCTTCAGCCACCTGGACCTGGGATGGACAACAACATGAACCATTTCTGTTGAGTTTGTGTTACATCTGACAATATTAAAAATAATTAATCAGAAATATAGGTGGATAAGGTTCAGGGAAAACAGAAAAATATTCATACAGTTGAAGACTAAACAATAAATGTTTTTAAAAAATCTAAATCCCCTTAAAATTAAAACTAATCTTTCTTTGCTAATATTGTACCTGTTGTTGTCAACATAGCTGATGAGCATTGGGTAGAAAGCATATAGGTCTCTGCAGAGCACAGCAAAATCATCCAGGATGAGCAGCTCGGCCTCCTGGTTGTCTCCTTACCATCGGCTTTCAGCAGCTCCTCTTCAGCCAACCTGCATTTGCAGCACATCAACAACTCAATCAACAATCTCCAGCGATCAATTCATTAGTATAAACGTTCTCGCACTGAGGTGTGGCAAGACACTTAGCTCATGAGACAAGACGAGACACAATATTGGGTTCACGAGATCTAGACGAGATTTTAACACTATTTTTTTTAGAAATCTTCAATGCTGAATATATGAAAGGTTTGAGCATTGAACACTTGATTTTCTGCATTCTGGTGATTTTTCCGCACCAATTCATGGTGGAAAGGATTCAGTCTTCCCCCTCTTTAGTGTCTTTTTCTGGGGAAGTAACCCCTTTAAATGTGCACATGGCACCTTTTAACCTAAATGAAAATTAATTCATTTTAATTTAGTTATAAACTCCTGGACTTTAATAGCACCTGTGTTTCAGCAGGCTTTCTGCTCACTTTCATAACTTTCTGCACATTCACAATCTCTCCCACATTTCTGTGTTCTCTGACAGGTCAAGAAAAAAAGCTCACAGTCCCAGGGGAGCAAGGCTGCAAAAGTCTTGAAAGTTTGAGATGACTGCGTCTAACTTTTGCTGCTGCCACGAGATCAGGCAAAAGATGGTTCCAACTTGGTGTAAGCAGATGAAAGCAACTGCGGTCGCTGGACTCAGAAAACTGCAGCTGCCTTGCTACAGCGAGGTTTTAATGTCAATATTGTATCAAAATATCGTGGCACAAGAACTCTGTCACACTCGTACCTCACACGACCCCTTCCAACTCAATGATATATCATCTCCTATCTGCATCCTCTCTCGGATTAAGCGCAGCGGCTTATAACGGAGTCAGCAAAACATTTACTTTAACCACATTGAGCAGTTGATACTAGTATATATTTTAAGCTCTCACCTTCACTGTCTTCTTCTTCAGTTTGTCCAGTGTGGGCAGGAAGTGGGTTCTCAGCAGATCAGCTCCAGCCTTGCAGATGATTGGCTGAGAATAGACTGGAGACAGAGACAATGGGAAATATATACTTGACATGGGCAACTGAGAAACAGCTTTTCTGAAGGATTTGCACCTCAGAAGCCAAGACCCCTTCCTCTGTCCCTGGGGATGACTGGCTCGGTTGTTAACTGTCAAGTTATATTTAGCAATAGTGTTAGCTAACTAGCTAACTAAGTCAACAAAGTTTTTAAGTGAAATCAGCAATTTTACTTTTTACCCTTGTCTCTAAAAATACAGTGGTACTAAAAACAGCAAGTGTTTGTCAAATATCCTTACATATTAGTTCCAAATTATTCTTGTTTGTGTTATAAATACAGTTTCCAAATGTGGTTTAAGCAGTGAGAATGTGCCTGAGGCTATTTGGCCCCACAGCAGCTAATTATGTTATCTGGCCTTCCCTGATCTCCCAGTGAGGAATGTGCGCTGAAAATGCAAATGTTCTACATAAATGTCATTGTAATAAAATCAGGATATCACATGGGTTTCCTCATTTAAAATAAGTTTGTATTATGTTTGACCTTAAATTCAACTCTGTCCTTGTTTGTCAATGTTTTTTAAAAGAGAAAAGAGTAGTTCCTTCCTCTGTTGAGAAAAATATACAAAACTCACCATCTAATGCGTTGTTAATGCATATTCCTGTGAAGAATTAATTTGAATATACTCTGATATTTCCTGAAAACCCCAAATAACTTATTACAATCCCTGACTTTGTACGTCTGAATAAAAACACAAAATCTAACTGGTTGGAAACTCTTTCAAATCATATTTATTCTTTCTCTAACAGCCTTGAGTCTGACACCTGCAATCCTCTTCATCCAGGGGGCGTCATCGATGCCCAGGTTGTTGTTGAGGATCTTGAGGATGTTTCCCAGGATGCTGCTGAGGTGTTCTGAGGTCACCATAGTGCAACACTGGGTACCCGGAGGCCAGTTCTCTGGACCTTTCTCCCACCAGTACGACAGATAGTTACACAGCATGGGAAGGATCACCTCAATGACCTGCAGGAGACATGTGGAAGGTACAATGTCTGGATGACTGAGGTACGATCAAAGGTTACCATATGTTTGGGACCAAAAGTTATAAGTGACATTAAAAATCCAGTAATTCATGATATAGCTTCAAGTAATTATTAATTTTGATGGAACACAAATTTTATACATCTCAATTGTGCAATACACACTAATAATGTCTAATAACAGCCTTAACACTGTAGTTTTAAGTCACATTTCAGCTGAACAGTAGAGGCCATCTAGGTGTGAAACACACTTGCTAAATTTACAAATAAATGTACAATGGAGTTTTGTATTCCTACCGTGATGTATTTAAACTTCATGTACAAATTAAATCGTTAATTATGTCTGAATTGTATAATGCTGTTAATGAAATTTTTAAATATTCAAAATGTTCTACACCACTTTCATCACTAACTCCAACATTAAAATGATCCATCCATTCATCCATCGTCAACCGCTTATCCTGTGTACAGGGTCACAGGGGGCTGGAGCCAATCCCAGCTGACATTGGGCGAAAGGCCTCTTTAATTATTTAGCATTTTTAAACCTCTAATAAAGTATATGAACCATTCATTAACCACACAATTTACTACTGCTCTTGCATTAAGTTGGGCACCTTGGTAAAAAAAAACATAATTTAAAAAGTAAAAGGTCAAAATTGATGGAGCAGAGGGCAAGATATGTGTCAGACCTGAGGCACGTCACTGTAGCGAGCGCCAGACTCTGATACATCATTGACATCTTTCAGCAGTCTGTCAAGACGAGGCATCTCTGGACACATCTCCTCCACGGTGTCAGGCATACTGAGGACTAGAAAGAAAAACACGTATTTTAGGACACTGTGAATTATAATAGGATAGTGATCAAAAGTATAATGATGATCAGGTGGACACTCACTAGCTCTCTCTCGGGGCGTCTTGGTGTTGAAGACAGAGAGCGGGTTGTGAGCGTTTAGGTCAGGCTCCAGGAATGCCACAGGCATGGCTCCCACTAAGGTCGCCAGGCTCTCCCCCAAAGCTGGAAGATGCCTGCAGATCAACAATAAGATCTTACAGCGCAATGTAAAGCAAGAAATTTAAGCACACAGAAAATTTATCATGAATATTCTGTTTAGAAAGGTTACTGTGGCCCTGTGTGTTTACTTGTTAGGACAGATTTCAACACTCAGAGCCTTCAGAGAAGCACCACATGGTATCAGGATTATTTTAGACCAGATAGCTAAGGTGAGGTTGTGGTCAAACTTTTTCAATGGTTATTTTACACTTGAGTCTGTTCAAGGTGGCAAACTTTCTTTTCTACAACAATTTTGGAAGGTTTTATTGCCGTGTAACAGCCGGTCAGGGAATAATGCCACAGAATTGTGGTTTTAATGAAAGACATTTCACAGCACAAAGTGCCTCTGTTGTGTCCTCTCCCCTGAGCCACAAAATCTTTTCATGAAATGGGATTATTATCTTGTCTGTCTAAAGTCCAAACCCCCATCTTCATTTTGTAACACATACTGTATCACAAAAACTGTGGCATACGCATCATAGTACATTTTTTAGTAAGAGTACATGAGATACCGTAAATCCTCCCACAAGTCCGGAGTTCATTTTTCACAAACACGAGTAAATCAAAAAGCTCAGTAGCTATATCCTAATTAACAGTGACAAGCATAATGTAGTTTATGATTTGTGCTATTTCACAGTTCCTTAATAGTGATTCTCATAGATCATAGTAATTATAGCAAGCATTGAGCGTTACCAAGGACTCTTAAAGTTAATGATTGAACATACAGTACTGCTCATGTGTAGAACCAAAACCTATTTTACATCCCTCTGCATGGTTTAATAAAAGTTTGGCCTCCTACCTCTCCACAAAGACATTCTTTCCTGTTCCCAGAGAGTAGAAACAGGTCAAGATTCGATAGCAGGAAAGCTGCACATCATCCACTGAAACAAAACACAGCATTCCTTAAGCTAAAATCTATTTTTAATCAACAACATATGTGTACTGTGTAAATGTAGGAATTGCATGTGTAATGGACATGTTTATACAAGACCAATTGTCTCTTTTGAATTCCAATTGGTGACTATGTAATGGACTTGGAGTGGCTTTAATCCAACACCTGTCATTTTATTTTATTGCATTTCATTTCTTTCCGTTTTACTACGATGTAGTCTGACCGTGGCACAACTAAGAATTTTTATTTATCAATATTAATAGATTAAAAAAAACAAGAGAAGAAGAATATTTTTTGTTTTGTGTTTGTAAAAGCAGGCAAAGGCCTCATTAATAATATGTATACCTACTGATTTTGTGAAAAGTGGGAACATGACCCTTAACATACAGTAAACCTACCCTCAGTATGTCTGAACTTGTGTGTCCCTGGTGGCCAAGTCTATTAAATGTATCTTATTGTGTTTTTTGTGTAATATTCCATGGGATTTTTTTCTCAAGTAGTAATCCAAATGAAACGGTGAATATGGAAACAGGAACTCACACAGCAGGTCCGTTCCAAACTCATGCGTCTTGATGTGCTCAAACAGGGCAGTGAGGATGGGCAGCAGCGCCACAGTCACATAGTTGATGCTCTGGGTGACACTCTTCATCTGGGCACGGGACTGCATGAACTTCCCCAGTTTAAGCATCTCCAGCAGCTTCTCTAGGTCCTCCGCTGCGTTCTCAAAGAAAGCCCGAAAGCCGGCTTTGACCAGCTCTGAGCCAGACTTCATCACCGTTCTTAGAGAGGGGAGGGGAGGGAAGACCAGGGCTAAAGTGCATGCACAAGACAACTGTCTATTTGATGGATCATCATAAATATGCAGACAACGAAGTATGCTTACCTGGTGTCAAGTGAGTGAGTGAGGATGTGCAAACAGCTCACCATAATCGCAGAGTCACTTCCTGTGAGAGAAACATTTACTGTAGATGTTGAAAAAGATTTAAAGCAAAGAAGCACCCAAGCACACAGGAAGAGGCAATGCCAACCTTACCAAAGAGAGAAATCCTGTGTCTGACAAGAGCTGCCAGCTTACAGAACAAGCTGGAAAAGAAAGACGGTAAGACAACAAGCTTCAGAGAGAACAAAGAACTGAAAAAACGCAAAGGAAGCAAGGAAATAAGAAAAGGTCTGATTGAAATATGAAAGAGAAATTCTGCACTCTTTTAGAGATAAAAGGGAGGACTTTACATATGGCAAAAAACGCACAATGGAAAAACACATTGTTTCTACACAGTACCTGGTGACCATCTCCTTCTCTTTGTTGGAGGCACAGCCACAGCTGCTCATGTTCTTGCTGGGGGTGGACAGGAAGTAGAGACAGTGGTTCTTTAAAGTTTGATCTGTCATAGGAAGCAACACCTGGAGACAAGAAATTACACTATAAGACTAAAACCCCAGGAAAGCCTTCTTAAAGGTAAATTCAACACAGTATAAGTGGTTCAGTTGCAAAAAGTGTTCCAGACCTTTGCAAAGAACTTGATTTCCTGGTCATGGGGTGATTTGTCTGTCTTCCCACTGGTGGCCATAGCCTCTGGATTAACAACAATGAGTGGGAAGTTCAGTGTCAAGGAGTCCATGTTGAGCCCCTCTCAGTGCTTAGTGTACCTGTATTTAAAATGCCACACACTCACCAAGATGAGCGATGAACTCCTGGGCGGAGTCAACATATTTCAACAGCCTTTTGAGGAATTTGAAGCAAAAACGCTTCTCCATGGATGATGAGTCTTGCTCCATGTCCTTCAGGCCTCTGTCAGATGAAAGGATCACAAATGACACAAAAGCCTTCATCGCATCACCAAAAGTAAAGTATGTCAAATATTGTGATTAGAAAGAATAAAATAATGGTTAGAAAATTGCTTTAAACTACTGTGACATTATGCTTAGAATTATTTACTTATTTCGTGAATGAAGGATAAATTGAGAGTGAGAGGAGGATAACCTTGTGATGGCATAGCCACTAATCTGCAGAAACTTGATGAGATCCTGGGCCTTTTCCTTGTCTCTGTACTTCTCTTTAGCTGTCAGGGTGTCATAGGGAACCAGCAGCGCATGGGTCCCTCCTCCTGGGAAATCAAGTTCAAAAATATTTTCAAATGCATTTTACACAGATCACTAGTCTGAAGTACAGCAGCTCAAATTATTTGCATTTTTAAACTTTAAATTTACACACCTTTACTAACGAGTTCGGTTTTCTTCTTCTTGGCCCAGATGTTGTGGTAATTTTCTGCAACCACCTCCACCATGCCCTGCAGAAACAGTAAAAATGCAAAAGTTCATCAAATCCAAAACATTGTATGGTGCTTTTGGGTAGCACTTTATAATAACTACACACTATAAAGCATTAGTAAATACGGAATTCATCATTTATAAAGCATTGTTCATACATTAATACACATTAGTAAGTCATTCATAAACACAGTTATAAATGTTTTATTCTTTATTAACTACACACTATGAAGCAGTTGTTAAGTATTAGTACATTTTTAATTCATCATTTATAAACCATTGTTCTTACGTTAATACACATTAGTAAGTCATTTATAAACATAGTTATACATGTTGTATTCTTTATTAAGCTCATCTATAATGTGTGCGCACTTTAGCGCCAGACCGCACCGAGGAAGAACGTCTCAGGTTACGTATGTAACCCTTGTTCCCTGAGAAGGGGAACGAGACACTGCGTCGGTGACGACACTATGGGAACGCCTCTGGGCGTGGCAGGGCTGAACTATGAATGAAACTACTCCAATCCTATTGGTGTTGCTAGAACGGTAGCGTGTGATGGGGTAACCAGAGGCGTATATAAGCACGCCGGCACACAGGACACATGAGCCCTTTTCTATGAAGCAAGGCACTCCAGGTGGGGTGAGGTGTGGTGGACCGACGCAGTGTCTCATTCCCCTTCTCGAGGAACAAGGGTTACATACGTAACCCGAGACGTTCCCCTTCGAGGGAAGTCGAACTGCGTCGGTGAAGACACTATGGGAACGAGATACCCACTTAGGCCGCGCCAAAACCCCGCCTGCCCCCAGCGTGCAGAACCTGACGGCACGACTAGGAGGAGAGCGCATGGGTGCCGGGTGCAGAAGGAAGGTCCAGACTGTAAAACCGGATGAATGTGTGAGGGGTGGCCCAGCCAGCCGCGTCACACAAATCCTGGAGCGACGCCCCTGCGAGGAGGGCCCTAGAAGCCGCCATGCCTCGAGTAGAGTGCGTCCTTACGGCCATAGGTGAAGGCAAACCGTGCACCTGATAGGCCAGGGAAATAGTCTGAACTATCCAGTTGCTGATGGTGTGTTTAGAAGCGGGGAGCCCAGCCTTGGGGGACCCGAAACACACCAGCAACTGGTCTGCTTTCCTCCACCGTGAAGACCTCAGAGTGTAAATACTCTCTGACAGGGCAGAGCAGATGAAGTCTCCTGTCCTCCGCCGTCACATAAGGTGGGGGATGAAACGCCTGCAGTACCGTGGACTCTGTCAATCTGGCCGGAACCTTAGGGACATAGCCTGGACAAGGGTGCAGGATGGCCCTGACCCTCCCCGGGGCAAACTCCAGGCATCGGGGAGACACCGAAAGTGCCTGGAGATCCCCCACCCTCCTCAGAGAGGTGATAGCGAGGAGAAAGGCCATCTTAAGGGTCAGGTGCTTGGCCTCAGCCGACTCCAGGGGTTCGAAGGGGGCCACAGCCAGTGCTTCGAGAACCACTGCCAGGTCCCAGGTGGGAACCCTGGAACGAGTCACAGGTCTCATCCTCCGGGCTCCACGGAGGAAGCGCACGACCAGTGGAAGCCTTCCCAAGGGCCCATCACTCAGAGGGGCGTGAAATGCTGCAATGGCAGCCAAAATATACTTTGAGGCTGGACGGGGAGAGGCCCGCGGAGAAACGGTGCTGGAGAACTCCATTATCATAATTACACCGCCCATTCTGTACACCAGGTGGCATTTTAACACATTCCACTTCAGGCCGTACATCCCTCTCGTGGACGGGGCTCTGGAGCTGAGCAGCGTATCAACTGCTCCTGTCGTCAGGCCCGCCTCTAGGAACTGCGCCCCCCTCAGGGGCCAGACCCATAGCTGCCACAGGACGGGGCACGGGTGAAAGGGCCGGTCCTCCCCCTGGGACAGCAGGTGCCAGGGCGGGCCCTCTAGGAGCGATATTATGTCCTTGAACCACACTCGGGCCGGCCAGACACGGGGCTACTGACAGTAGGCTGACACCGTCCTGACGGACCCCCTCCAGAACCCCCGGGGGCAGAGCAACTGGGGGAAGAGCATACAGACGCAGCCTCAGCCACGTCTGCACCATGGCATCCATGGCGAGAGGGAGAACCACAGGGGACACTGCGTAGTCCCTCGAGACGCAAACAAGTCCACGTCTATGGGGCCAAACTTTTCGCATAATAACTCCACCACCTCGGGGTGGAGTCTCCATTCCTCCATTCCGGCCTCAGCCCCTGTCTCGACAGCAGGTCTGCTCCCTGATTCTGAGTCCCAGGGACGTACATCGCTCTGAGGGACAGCAGTCTCTGCTGGGACCACAGGAGGATCTGATGTGCCAGTTTGCATAACGGGCGCAAGCGCAGACCCCCCTGGTGATTCAAATAGGCCACCACTGCCGTATTGTCGGTTCTGACAGGGACGTGGCAACCGCGGAGAGCGGGCAGAAAACTCCTCAGAGCTCTGAATACCACCAACATTTCCAGGCAATTTATGTGCCAGGAGAAATGATGCTCCTGCCAGGAGCCTCTCGCAAAGCGGCCGTCCATGACCACGCCCCATCCTGTGAGTCTGTCGAAATAATTGTTCGGCGATAGATCACTCCCAACACGGGACCTTGGGACAGGAGGCTACCAGGAGACCCAACACCCTCTGAAAGTGTTTTACAGTGATGGCGCGGCCTAACTGAACTCTGGTCACTGAGTACAAAATGGACTCGACGCGTGCGGGAGACAGGTGGGCCTGCATCGTCGTTGAGTCCCACACCACCCCTAGGAACGTAGTCCGTTGGGCAGGCGTCAGCACGCTCTTCTTTGAGTTGAGCTGCAGCCCCAAACGCTGAAGGTGGGCGAGGACGACATCTCGATGCCGAACCGAAGTAAGAAAATACAATTATTAAGCATATTATAGATGAGCTTATTAATAAAGAATACAACATGTATAACTATGTTTATAAATGACTTACTAATGTATATTAACGTAAGAACAATGCTTTATAAATGATGAATTCCTTATTTACTAATGCTAACTAATGCTTTATAGTGTGTAGTTATTATTTACTAATGCTAACTAATGCTTTATAGTGTGTAGTTATTATAAAGTGCTACCGTGCTTTTGTGTTATAAAGACAATTCCCAGTTTGCAGTGCATATGTAATAACTCATTCTACAGTTAGTATATCATGATTATAACGACAATTATAAAAAGTCATTCAAATAAAAACCAACCTGTAACTCTCTAGACAAGGTGACATTGTGCAAGTCCATTGGAGGACTGAATCCATTAACCTACAAAGTCAAAAAGAGACAAATACAAGACCATATTTGCAGTTATTCCCTTTAAATCGGCAAATACTTCACTACCTTTCGCTGACTGACACAATACACCTGACGACTGCTATCTATCTCAAAGCTTTTACATTTGCAGTTTCAAACATTTGGGTAGCTCTTTCCTGGAATATGCTTTAGTTCAGTGGTTCCCAACCTTTTTTCCTTGGTGCCCCCCCCTACTTTTATCTAAGAAAAGCTGAGCCCCCCCAACAGCTGACAAAACACGCAAACAGAAAAATATTATGTAATTACTTACTAATAGCGAACAAATTGAGTCAAATGACACCTCCATGGCTCTGTGTAAATCAATGCCAGCTCTTGGTTGGCCTTCACCAACAGTCTCCTGGTGTTTTGTTTCTTGGTATTGTTTAATACCAAGAAAAGGGGGTTATAAGGTGTAATATTTACAAAATATAGGCCTACAGCTCGCGCTAACTTAAGTGCTTTCAACATATACTGTACTTGGCCGGGCCGGACAGGTATAGTTGCACCTGCCAAAGTATATTTAGTAAACCACTTTAGCATTTTGCAGAGAAACGGTGAGGGAGAGGTCATCTGGTATTACGTTAACACACAACAAGGAAATGTTACATGACAGAGCGACAATGAATGCACCACTGCAGATGTCGCTCACTAACGTTAAGTTTCAGTTTCGATCCACATGCGACACACTTGAAAACTGAATCACAGGTGAATTTATTAAACAGGGCGACTTAATGAAACGTACTGCTGATGGAGAAAGTCAGCTGAGACACATGCAGGGAGAGAGAGGCAGAAAGAGGCAGACCAAGCCGGTGTGTTGCCGTGAGAGACCAGAGGTGCAGGCTAGGTGTGTGAGAGTGTGGAGAGAGGAGCAGAGGAGCAGATTCAAGTAAATAAACACTAAACTATAAGGTGGAAAATGACCTACAATAACCTACTGTTAATACAAATAGCCTACAATTTACACCGCTACCGAGCCCACCCCCCACCAGCCGCCGCCGTCACAGTTGCTCTGTCTTAATGAGAGCTCAACAGTCCAATGAGCGGGTGTGTCGCGTTTCTGTGTCTTCGATCTGCGACACAAGATCATGGATTTATGTGTCGCGATTTTGGTCTTCAAAACCATTACAGCCCTACTACTAAGTAGTCTGCCTACTATTTTAAGTGAGGAAAAAAAATGTATACAGACCTTTGTATAAATTATCTAGTGTGTTATCGCGATTTAAAAAAAATGTGCAAATCAAAGTTTTTTTGACAACCTCAAAACAAATATAGCTTTGGGCGCCCCTAAGGGGGGCGTGGATCCCAGTTTGGGAACTACTGCTCTAGTTTATAGTTTCAATCATACTCTGCTGTCCCTTTGAGAGTTATATCACACTCAGCTAACTGAAAGTCATTGCCTGTTCATGGTATACATATTATGTCACAGTATACATATTACCAGTCACTTTGTAGTTAAAAAATATAAACTCTCAAAGTAACAAAATGCCATCATGATGCCCTTCATGACACATATATATTATAGCTTTTTAACACTTGAAAGTGGAGCTGTCTACGGCACTTCCTTAAAACTAAAGCAGCTACTTATTCCAAGACATCATTCATGCGTTTCAGTATTTATGTTGCAAGATAACTTTAATGAAATGTGAAAAAAAGCATTTCTATGATAAATGAAGCAAGCCGATATCATTACTGATACAAGCCATTAGCTTATTTGCTGTGTAAAATTGTTTTTGCTGTTTCCCTGGGAGTGGTCTTCCCACTTAATTTTTTAAATGGGGCCCCATTATAAATCATCTCTGCCAAAGATAGTTCAAAAACACCACAATAAAAGCTGAGGCTATGGAAAACAGAGGACAAAGACAACTTTAAAATAGGAGAGTCTTCTGAATTATATCAGTTAGTGAGATAGTAATTACAAGGAAACATTTGTGACGGCATTATTGTCTAATCGTGATGAGTTTGCAGTATTATCCCACTAAGTGGGATACATCAGGATATTACCTGAGACTCAGAGGTCTTTCGTTGTTTTTCGCTCTCTCGTTGTTGGAACATGGCTTCTCCCTCCTTGGTCCTCTCAATGTTCCAGCCCATAGCCAGCATGCTCTTCAATGACTCCCTCACTGGCCAGCGGTATGTTTCTCTCTCCTTCGTATTGAACACACACAAAAATCTGGCAGTCACTTCTTGACTTAACATCCTACGCAGGACTGTGTCCCCACCAGATGTGACAGTTCAACACAGGTAAAAATGTTTATACAAGTCAGACAAACACATCTACAACGAAGTATTAGGGCCAGTCAACATGATGAGAATAAAGTACCATTTCTGGGTTATTTTCCTATTGGAGTGTCATGTTAATGAATAGTTTGGCATGCAAAAATGTGTGAATTAATGGCCTTTTCAATCAAATTTTGATTTACTTTGTCAGTAAAAAAACTTGCCTTCCTTAGAGAAAATAAAACCACGGATATTTATTTTTGACAAGTTTCAATTTGGCAAAAATAAATTTGTGATCCATTAATGCAACCAACACCATTATTTCACATCTTAACAGCTTTGCCACCGAGCAAGGTTCTTTTTTTACAACTAAAACTCAGCAGCTCTGTGTGTACCAGTGTGCATGTACCTTCTCACTCAGCGCTTTGTAAGGCTTCAGCAGTGGATGGGATTTGGCCTGCTCATCCACACTGTCTCCATGTTTCCAGCCTGCTGACACCTGCAACAACAGTTTTTTGTAGGCCACTTAGTACCTCTGCATTTCAGGTTTTTAAACCTAGTAGTATACATACTAGTATACTGTGAGCATGTGACTGTACCACACCATGCAAAATAACATTAAAATAAAATTTGTATTTCTCAGCAATTTGTAGTGAGCCTTCCATGTGCATCTATTTTATATGAGAGATGGCATAAATGAAATGTCAGCATGAGGGATGAAAACATTGAAACCACGTGGACAGGAACTAACCTTCTCTGAGGACCACTTGTCATGGGAATGCTCTGCATATTTGTTGGCGATGTACTCAAGTTTTTCAGGAAGGGAGATACTAGAAGGTGGAGATAATGTTTATATATTTATTGTTATTACAAAATCAATTTCCCCCTGCTTATTGAGCAGATAAACACTCCAGGAGTGCATTTTCAGACCACTAACTTGGTAGTGTTGATGGGTTTGGGATCAAAGTTGCCCTGTGCGTCCATTGGTGCCTGTTTCTCCAGTGTTGCTCCAGGACTGGCATCCACAAAGTCTGGAGGCAAGGCTCCAGCAATGGCACACAAGCATGACATTGCCATTTTGAAAAGTTCGGCATCATACTTCTACAGAAGAGACAGATACAGCAGAAAGGATGGTTACAAACTCCCCCCCCACACACCATTTTCGCTGCAATGAGGACATGTCTGCTTAGCTATTAAATGGACAGATTGAGCAGAGAAAAGCCAGGGAAAGAGGTGAAATGAAAGTCTGCACCAAGCAATGGCCTGTCACTGTCTGATAAATGATTCATCTGTTTTGGTTTCGCCTCAGCTGCACTGCTCATAACCACTTCATTGAGCTTTCACTTCACTACGTCTGACTA